TGGGAAACAGGCTTACTAGAAAAGCTAACCAACAAACTGAAACTGACACGGACAGATAAAAAAGGACGCCTTCACCCCGATATGGCCTCCCCTTTGTTACACACATGGCGCAACATGGACCCAAATCTCAATGCAGTCAACTAAAGGCAACCAACCATGCCCTGAGCTCCCTCACTGCCCATGAAAAACTAGTAAATGACTAGAAAGAAAACCTACCCAAGTGATGCGGGGGGGGGGGGGATACCACACACATAGCCCTCTCTCCCTACTTTTCTTCTCCCCCAACCTTATAACGTATACAATTTTCACGTCTCACATCGAATCTGTAGAAAAGACCCTATGACCTGCACCTACTTTGGTAACCCTAGAAAATCTTTAATAAAAGCTATTTCTGAAAGAAATCTGCTGGGGTCAGCACACTTGTACGCTCACACCAGGCCATAGTTTGAATTCACACTGTGCACAAACCATCTCAGTAAGTTTGAACTTGGAGCTACTGCTTGTTTTAACTATGGTCTATCCCAGCAGTGGGCTACCTGCAGCTCAAGGCTGCATTCCGCTGTCGGCCAATTATCAAAAGCCCTTTGCAAGTGGTAAGCTCAGGTTTCTGGCAAGAGTGGTCTGTGTCTCCCCTCAAGGCAGCCCATTGGAAGAGAGAGAAAAGGGGGTGGCAGAAAGAGAAGAGGTGACCATGCCTAGTTTTAGCTCTAGCCTGTCCCACTGCCAGCAGATTAAGTAGCAAAGTGGGCAGATAAGGACTAAGAATGGCTGAGAACTAAGAAGAAAAATGGTGCCAGGAAGAAGAAGCACCACTGGGCTTCTTTGGGAAGAGGGGTGGGATATAATTTCATCACCATTATTTATTTCATAGGTATTATCTCAGAAGGCTGCCCTTCTCCCAGCCTCAGAACTTAGACAGTTGTTGCAATTCAGAGCTGTGGTCTATAGAGAAAGTTTTACCATTAATGGAGTATTTCCTCAGTATCATAAATACTGGCTTCTTAAGACGAACTATTATTGATGTCCACTGTATTCCTCCTCAAGTCAGCACATGATTATGTAAGAAACACCATTTACAGGTTTTCATACAAGAGGTGTCACACCTGCATGACTATCGCATGGAAAGAAAGCCTAACTTGTAAATGTCTCTACAACTTAAGTTTCATTTCACGGAGAACTGAAACTGTACAATGCTTGCTAGCTGCTCTAAACACGGGAGGAGGAGGGGAGGAATAAAATATTGGCAAGCATGTGAAAGGAAAGAAGACTTGGCAGTTGAGATCTCCCTAGGTTTTGGTGGGGTGTTCTTGTTGCTGTTGTTATAGTTAGTGATTGGCTAACTATATCAAAGACTGGCCAAAATCTAATAGCACAGATTTTATCCACAAGCATTGAAATACTACTTTGATGCTTGATTCAGGGACAAAAGGATTAGGGGCAAGATGGATCGGTCATCCAGTTACACACCGTTTTATATAAAATTTGCCTAGGCTAATTGCTCTGAATCTGAAGTTATCTGAAGTAATTGAGGAATCGGAATCTGTTCTGAAGTTATCTGTGATGGCCTGGGATTCGGACTCAGGGACTGAACCTGAGGAATCCCAGCCTGTACAGGATTCCCCGCCTCCAGAACCAGCTGAGCCGGGGCTGGGGCCTGAGCCTGAAGGGTCCTCACCTGTGCTGGATCCTCAGGTGCAGGCACCAGCTGAGTCTGCTCTGGCTCCTGAGGTGATGGAGGACCCATTGCCTGCAGGTGCGCCACTCTCAGCCCTGTCAGGAGAAGAGGAGGTTGCCTCTGGGTCTGGTAACCCTCCAGCCTCTCCTGAGCTGCAGAGACTCAGGGCAGAGAGGCGGAAGGAACTAAGTTCCCGCAGGAGGAGTGCTCGCCTCCAGGCCAGGAGAGGCGAGTCACCTGTGGACTGGGGCCGCCCTATGCCTTGGGGCAGATAAAAGCCAGCCAGCCCCAGTCCCAGGTTGCGGGAGCAACATTGTTGGTAGCCTGTTCCTGCCTGTACCCTGTCGTCCTCTTCTGCCAGAGTTCCTAACCCCACCTGACTCCCCGCCTTGGACCCAGCTACAGCTTTGACGGACAGTCTCCATACCGCACCATCAACCTCGGACTGGACCTGGACCTCGCCTCTCGGTTAGCCCCTGGGGCCAGCACATTATCATTCCTCAACTATATGACACAGTGGAGATTATTCATCAACTAAATCTTACTCAGAGTAGTTCCACTGAAATTAAGGGACCTAACTTAGCCACATACATTAACTTCAAGGGATCTACTCAGAATAAAAGTTAGCAGCTGAACACCTCTCAGTACGATTTATATTCATATTACCTGTTTTATAAGCAGACAAAAAACAACCTATGGCCCTAGATCTCAGTGAAATCATAAACCTGTCTGGATTGTACCACTTCAGCCTGCACACTGGGAGGTTGTAGAACTGTATGCACCTCACTCAGCACAGCACAATGCAGTTACTATCTAGATGCCAGCGTATCCATTTCCCTCCCCTGCTGGGGAGTTTTAATTATTATTATTTATTATTCTTACACATGGAAGAACATTTGACTCTCATCTCAACCTGCATTCTGAAGCAGCACAGCCCAGGTACGCTTTCATTGCAATGGCAGGTTCATGCTTTGAAGACAATGTAGGATATATATATATATTTTAAGAACCAAAAAACCCAAACAAACAAAAAAAAACCCAATTCCCCCACACTATTTTTACCTTTGAGGAAGTGAGCATTGGTGACAGCTGCCTCACATACTATTAATTTTGCAAGTTGTCTCCTGGTGAGAAACGAAAAAGTACCCAAGTAGGTGACAGAATCATTCAATTGGTGAATTCTCGTGCTCTCTCCCTGTATTTTGTACCTGACCTGAAGTTGGAAGGGCTTATTTCATTGTTCTCTCCATCTAACACAGCACTCCTCAAAATCCTTCATAGAATGGTAAGTTCAATTTTTAACTGTATTCTTGAAAGCATTTGTATCTGGAAGCAACTCTTGAGTGCAATAAGTATTTTTGAGAATTGTATCATTTTATTCTGTATTCGTCTCCATTCCCATCTGCTACGTTCTGTTAAGGTGTGTATTTTATAAACATATAATGAGTACTATTGATCTTTAAAACAGGAAGTTAACATATAGGTTAGTTGGTTTGGAAAAAATGACTCTCCAACCCAATGGTTAGGAACCAGAAAACTTCAGAGGCTAAACCTCACATTTATCTCTGGAGAAAAGTGACATACCTTTGAACTCCGTAGTAGTTGAGGATAACAGCCTTAGACTCACCTAGATACCAAAAGGGGTCAAGTGATGAGTTGTTAGTGTTGTGTGGCTTTATTATAACTTGTGACTCAGTCAGTTGGAACTGGGCAAAAAGAGTGAGACAGATACAAACCTTGCAAGAAAACGGACCTGTTGGATTGGTCTCTAAGCCCAAAATTTTGCTAGTTTGATAGTCTACAACAGGCATAGGCAAACTCAGCCCTCAGGACCAGTGGTCAGGGATGATGGGAGTTGTAGTCCCAAAACATCTGGAGGGCCGAGTTTGCCTATGCCTGGTCTACGAAATATTGTCGCTGCAGCTGGCTTTATCTTACTGACATGGCTGCTTCTATTATAAAATGGAAGGGGCAATAAAATCACCCTACTACAGGGATGAGGAACCAGTCACATCTGGTTGGCCACTGTGAGTGCAGAAAGATGGACTAAATGGGCCATTGGTCTGATCTAGCAGGCTCTTCTTATGTCTTTAGTACAGGTAGGTAGCCGTGCTGATCTGCCGTAGTCGAAAAAAAATAAAAAAAAATCCTTCCAGTAGCACCTTAGAGACCAACTATGTTTGTTATTGGTATGAGCTTTCGTGTGGTATCTGAAGAAGTGTGCATGCACATGAAAGCTCATAGCAATAACAAACTTAGTTGGTCTCTAAGGTGCTACTGGAAGGATTTTTTTAATTATGTCTTTATGTTCATCCATCATCCCTGACTACTGGGCCATCTGGCTGGGGTTGATGGCAACTGGAGCTCAGCAACATGAGAAGCACCTCAGGTTCTCCATTCCTGCCCTAAAAGAACCAATGCAGATGTGAAAACTAACTTTAGCTGCTTCTATGGGGGAGTTCCCGACTGGACTGGCTCTGGCTAAGTCAAGCATACAGAGGTTAGAGCAGCCTTCACCAGTCAGCTGGGGGTGATAGGAGCTGGAATCCAACACATCTGGAGCCCAATGATTTGATATGTGAAAATTCGGCTCCTTCTCCCTTGCCCCTCTGTATGGCCAGTCCTTTCACTTCTGCTGTTCCTTATTTTTGCAGCTCCACCTCATGCTCCCATCTCATGCTCCCATGTGCTCCACACACTTTTACCAAAGACTTTGCTTTGTAGAACAGTAGCAGGCAAAGCTTCTTACTGCATGGAGACATGCATTATCATCTGCTAACGGCTGCAGGCCAGGTCACTGTTAATAGCAGTTGCTAATTTTGTTTGAAAATAATTTAAATTTTTTTTTTTAAAAAAAGGGGTGTCTGTCTTCTCACTTTCAGAGCCCCCTGCAGTTCTGAGTTGGAATCATTTATTTATTTTTTCCAAACTGTCAAAATACAATTATAAACATTATAATAGAAGTTGTGGTGAATCGAAAACGTCACTCGTTATCTCATTCAGTGATTCCTGAAAGTGAGGAAAGTGCTTCCGTCTTGACTCAGCCTAATATCAGGGTCATGGGTTCAAGCCCCGTGTTGGGCAAAAGGATCCTGCATTGCAGGAGGTTGAACTAGATGATCCTTGTGGGCCCTTCCAAGGACTCAGCTACACAGCTGCAAATGAAATGTTTTAAATGTGCTGTAAAGTGCAATATACAAATGTGACACTAGATGGCGACAGTGAGCTATGCAAAATTCAACGTATTTTTCAAAACTTTTTTAAAAAAAAAACTATTTTCACATCGTTTTTTTTAATGTGTGTGTAGATTCCACCCAAATCTACAGTTCTATGATTCTACCACAGAAACAATTCTATATTTATTTTATTCTTGGCATATTTCTAAAATGCACTCTCCTGCTGCCTCCTCAGTTAAACAGGTAATTCTTCATTGCAAGAAACTGATCACACCATGAAAAGAGAGGGGAAATACTTGTGCACACCTCTGGGCATCCAGGTAAGCACATGCCTTCTGACATGACAAGCTGCTTAACTGAGCATTCACATCTACTAATCCACATTCCCCTCCCTGTGCAGTTAATTATGTTTCATAGTGTTGTTCTGGGCTCTTTGCAAATCTAATTAGAGGAGCAGGCTGAATTGCAAGATTAGTTATTAATATTCAACTACTGTATAAAATCCCAAAATCAAAAGGCTGTTACCCAAATAAAGACAGCAAGGGCAGGTGCTTAAATCAAAGGCAAATCATGTGAGCAGCAACCTCATTAAAAACATAGATTTAAAGAGAAAAAGCAACATGGTTTGGTGTTACCTATGGAATGTTGCCATATACCCAAGATCATTATTAAGGGCAAAGCATTTCCCTCCATCTCCAATGTGTTATGCCCAAATTAGGACAAACTATTGTGAATGTAAGCAATGGTTTGTCCAGATAATACAAAATTAAACCACAGTTTACAATTATGGCTTGTCTAAATAAACCAGGGTGGGCAGCCTTTATTCTGTCAAGGTGGGGGAGGGAATCTGTCAGGGACCACATGGCAGAATCCAGAGCTAAAAAGAACCATGGCCATCCATTGTCTCCCTCTTTCTGCCACCTCATTCTCCCTCTCTCTCTCTCTCTCTCTCTCTCTCTCTCTCTCTTCGTCCTTGCCAAACATCTGAGCTTATTGCTTGCAGTGGGCTTTTGAAACTGGCCACCCTGGGCTACAAAGCTGCCCCACTTCTGGAATACGCCATAGTTAAAGCAAACTGCAGTTCTTGGTTCAAACATATTGACCCAGTTCACCCATAACTGTGAGCCAAATTATGGCTTTACCCAGGTGTACTTGTCCCCAGCAAGGAAACTAACCCCTTTGCTCCTTCTCTGGTCCTGGACCTGTTACCATGAACTAAACTATGGGTTGGCTTAACCTGCCATCTGACACACAGACTCATCCCAGGCAAACAAGCTGCAGCAAACAAGCTGTTCTATGGCTTACTGCTTATGGTTTGTCTGGGAGACATTCAGATGACACACTGCACAAAGGCTTAGCTCATTCCAGTGCAGCAGTAGTAGGGCTGGGGGGAGCAAAATGGCTGCAGTATCCAATCTGCGAGCCTGCACACTCATGCATCCTCACTAAGCAATGGCTTGGCTCGGTGTTGCCTGTGAACTGAGCCAAGGACCAAATGCAGTTCACTGAAATGGAGACAGGTACTTCCGATCTCCTCCTTACAGCACCATCAAAGGAAGAGAGAAGAAAGGAGAGCAAACATACTGTAGCTTAGCATTTTATCTGAACATATTCTTATTTTTATTATTTCATTTATGGCTTGCTTCCTATGAAGCATCTCAAAATGATTTAAAATATGCTTAAAACAATTACATATATAAATCAATTTAAAAACATTTTTTTAAAAAAATTAAAATTTAATTTAAAAACTATTTTTTTAATTAAAAAATACATATCTAAAATCTATTTCAAATCCAGCACAGATAGTTCTATGTTCTCTTGCTTTTAGAAGCTAACAGTGGACCACTAGGGTTTTATTAAAGAAAAGGTAGACCTTGAAAAGTAGGAAAACCCATTCTTTTTTTCTGACCACATGCAATTATTATTTTTCAAGTTGCACCTCAGAGCTCTGCACATGCAACAGATGTGTGCATTTTGATGTGATTGTCGTGACCAGTGACTGGATAGCAGCTCTCTCCTAGCATACTCTCTCCTAATGTCTCAAAACCGTGTTTTAGATTTTGTAAAACCACGAGTAGCTCTTGAAACAGAAAACATGCAAGCTCCCCCTCCCTCTCATATAGCCTGCCGTTCAGCAAAATGATTTTCCCTCCCCAGACGCAAAAGGGATCACACTAGTCAGTTTCATCACTTTGTTGACTACTCTGAGACATGGGGAAGCAGCTGCAATTAATAATTCTGAAATGGGAGAATGCTCCTCTCCACCATTACATTGCGGCACCGAGGGTCCAGGGTCTAGTGGCACCGAGGGTCCAGACTAGATGTTACAGGGCAACTGCATGCATTTTAGGCAGGTGTTTGGTATGTCTGCACGAAAAAAGGACTGAAATGGGAGTGAAGCCAACCTCTCCCATGCATTGCCTTGTGTTCTCCATAGCAGCAACCAGTTCTCTGCTTGACTCATCACTTCCGGTTGAAGCCAGGCTGCAGAAGAACTACACAATATTAACCAAGTACCGTGACATAAGGCAAGAGGAAGAGCTGGCTTTGCTTCCCTGTGTATTCCTTTCTATTAAAAAACCAAAACCTCTTGCTTTATAAGTGAATGGAGAAACAAGTGTGGGAAAGTGCTTTTCTTGTCTGACTCAAATTTCCCACAATTTTGTTTCTCTGGGTAGCCATAGTTTCTAGTACGATGAAAGAGGGGTGGAAATCTGATCTCTGTCCACTATGGTATGTGCATCCTGTAGAAATTATCTGAACTTTATTTATAAAGTTCATGCACAGCCTCACACACAGCAGGAGCCTGCAATCTACATTGTTTAGGTATGTGTCTTTACGGTGCTACAAAACTCGCTGTTGCTTTTGCTACCAATACTGAAATGTCTAAGAGAAGCCTTTTAAGCTGAGTTTGTTGTGACTGCATTTTCCCTTCTGTCTAGGCAAATCACCTACAGCAAACAAGCAGTTTGCTTTTCTCCATTATGTTAATTACGTTCCTGTTTCCAAGGATGGTGCCAGCGACACAATTCCCCAAAACCTTGCCTTGTGATATGGTTGCTGGTAGCGAATATTTGCTAGCAAATTGCAGTGAGCGTGGCCTCATAACATTCCCAACATTCCCAGAAGAAATGTCTGCCAACATTACTAACCTGACACTCGCCATTAACCACATCCCAATGATTGCCCAAAGCTATTTTAACAACCTCAAGAATCTTCTGGAAATTGATTTCAGGTGCAACTGTGTGCCTACCATGTTGGGGCCAAAAGACAAGGTGTGTACCACGATTCCCCAAATCAAACCCGGCAGTTTTGCCAAACTCTACAAACTAAAATCACTGTATTTAGATGGAAATCAACTCTCCACCATCCCTCTGGATCTGCCTTCAAATCTGCGTCTTCTAAGTCTCGAAGCAAACCACATTTTTAGCCTCAATAATTTGTCAGGACTTAGCAACCTAGAAAGTCTTTTCCTTGGTCAGAACTGCTATTACCGCAATCCTTGCAATGTTTCCTATAGCATTGATGCAACAGCATTTCAGGCCCTTGGGAAGTTAACTGTGTTATCCTTAAAAGCTAATAACATATCAAAAGTCCCACAGAATCTGCCATCCTCCTTAATGGAACTTTACCTTTACAATAACATAATTCGGAATATTAGTGGGGATGATTTAGCCAGCCTTCATAATTTGAAAATCCTGGACTTAAGTGGCAACTGCCCTCGCTGTCACAATGCCCCCTATTACTGTGTGGAATGCAAAGGTCAGGCAAGTATTTTTATTAATTCCGGTGCTTTTGACTCCTTAACACAATTGGAAGTTCTGCGGCTGCACAGCACCTCCCTTCGCAGAGTGGATCCAAAATGGTTTAAGAATACTATGAATCTTAAAGTGCTTGATCTCTCACAGAATTATTTGGCTAAAGAAATTGAGCGTGCTGTCTTTCTGAAGTCTCTTCCTAACCTTGTAAGCTTGGATTTGTCTTTCAATTTTGATCTGGGGTCATATTCCCAATATCTGAAGCTACCAGAGACATTTTCTACTCTTACCAATCTGCAATTTTTAGGGTTGAGGGGTTTCATTTTCCGGGAACTGGATAACCATACTTTACAAAATTTGATTCCTCTACAAAATCTTAGTGTGCTGGATTTTGGGACTAATTTCATCAGGAATGTTGATGTGTCTAAGTTCAAAAGCTTCCCAGCTCTTAAAGTTATAAATCTTTCCTTCAATAAAATATCTCTCATTTCAAGTGGATCCAGTGGTAATTTAAACTCTCTTCCAAAGCATTCATTAGTTGAAAGTAATAGTGTGCTGAAAGATATGCATTACTTCAGATATGATGAGTATGGCCGAAGTTGCAAGTGCAAAGACAGAGAGGCTGCTTATCCATTGCCTTTTGCCAGTGACACTTCTTGCAGCAGCTATGGAGCAATGCTGGATTTGAGCAGAAACAACATGTTTTTTATCAAGCCCTCTGATTTCAAGGACCTCACTTTCCTCAAGTGCCTCAACTTGTCTGCTAACGCTATGAGCCAAACTCTCAATGGAACTGAATTCAAATATCTTTCCAACTTGAAATATCTGGATTTTTCTAACAACCGGATTGACTTGCTAAATTCAAATGCCTTTAAAGAGCTGGAAGAACTAGAAGTTCTCGACCTCAGTGATAATAGTTACTATTTTAAGGCAGAAGGCATCACTCACATGTTGGGCTTCATTGGTAATCTTATTAATCTCAAAACGTTGTTCATGAACGGGAATGAGATTTCTACATCCACTGATAAAGGGATGGCAAGCAGTTCACTCAAAACTCTGGAATTTAGAAAGAATCGCTTAAATGTTTTATGGCAGGATGGGAATAAAGAATTCTTGTCCTTGTTCAAGAACCTGACCAACCTAAAGACTCTTGACATTTCTGAAAACTCTTTAACCTATTTGCCTTCAGGGGTTTTTGAGAACTTGCCTTCCAAGCTCAAGGTGTTCATATTGGCACGTAACAAAATGAAGAGTTTTAACTGGGCAAACCTTCACCTTCTGGAAAACCTAAAAACCTTGGATCTTAGCGACAACCAGTTGAGTACAGTCCCCCGTGAGCTGTCCAACTGCTCCAGGGGCCTGGAGAACCTCAACATGCAAAACAACAGGATTAGAAAACTGACAAAAAACTTTCTTCAAGGTGCCTACCAGCTGAAACATCTAGATCTCAGTTTTAACAAAATCAAAACACTTAGTAATTTCAGCTTCCCCAAGAATGTGATTGACAAGCTAGACACATTAGTTTTACACGGTAATCCTTTCCGATGCGACTGTGATCTTGTGTGGTTTGTCTCATGGGTCAACCGGACAAACGTGACTATTCCTTTACTGGCAACAGATGTGACATGTGCAGGCCCAGGTGCATGGAAAGGTAAAAGTGTGGTCTTCTTGGATCAGAATACCTGCGAGCTGAACTATTCTTCGATCCTGTACTTAATGACTGTCTCGGTCATCATGTCTCTGATGCTGGTCACAGTGATGAGCCACTTGTATTTCTGGGATGTGTGGTACATCTATCATTTCTGCACTGCCAGTTTGAAAGGATATAAACGCCTCTCTTCGTCCAAAGCTATTTACGATGCTTTCATTGCTTACGATAAGAAAGATGAAGCTGTAAATGAGTGGGTCCTAAAAGAATTACTTGAAAAGCTGGAAGATGGCAGAGAGAAACGATTCAAGCTATGTTTGGAAGACAGAGATTGGCTACCAGGGCGGCCGGTCCTGGAAAACCTTTCTGAGAGTATACAAGAGAGCAGAAAAACTATATTTGTGCTAACAAACAGGTATATCTCGAGCGGCAACTTCAAGACAACCTTTTACTTGGCACACCAGCGGCTCGTGGATGAAAAAGCTGATGTAATCATCCTGGTGTTCCTTGAAAAGGTTTTGCAAACCTCAAAGTATCTCCGCCTCAGGAAAAGATTGTGCAACAGGTCCGTCCTTGAATGGCCAACTAACCCTCAGTCTCAGTGGTATTTCTGGCAGTGCCTGAGAAATTCACTAGCAGCAAACCATGACTTGAGCTATAACAAGCTTTTTAAAGAGATGGTATAGCTTGGTCACATTCTACAACAACGTTCTGTAGGTTAAAGCCACACTGAACCAAATGAACGGAATGAGGCTCAATCTCAGCCTTTGCACCGGGCGAAATTTTAAAACATTTGAAGGAATACCAGCAGCTCATGGAGCATTCAACACCTACTGCTGGAATATAGGAAGCTTAGCTTATTTGAGACAAGTGCTGCAAAGGAAGCCTAGTTTGTCAACTGAACTTTCTAGATACTAAATGTTGGGATATGCTAGGAGGTTGTGGCAGATTTGTAACCAGCCCTCCTGGCACCTTCCTGGAGTATTTCCACCTGTCTGGAATGGGTTCTTGAACTCTGACAATGCCTCTTGCTTGCTCAGATGGAGGCTGGATGTGTGTGTTATGCTTAGGAGCTAACCTACTGTTTGAAAGGTAGAATGCGCACTCGTTGCTCTGCCCAATTTTGCCTTTGGCCCCGCCCACCAAGGGCACACAGCCCCCAGAATATTGCCCAGAAGGGAATGTAGACCCTCAATTAAGATAATCAAGGCATGTACATCTAAGCTCCTATATAGGCCTCTTCTCAGAGGGGGCCACTTCCACTTCCAGCCTTTCAGACCACTAGGCATAAGAAAAATAAAAATGGTGATATGTGAAAACAAAAATAAGACATAAAGCAGAGTGTTTTGTTTACATATTCAGCTGGTCTGAGAGTACCTATTCACCATGGTCTAATCCAGGGGTCTGCAACCCGCGGCTCCGGAGCCGCATGTGGCTCTTTTACACCTTTGCCGCGGCTCCGGGGCGGATACTAGCGAGGGGAGGAGGCACATTGTGCGCCCCGACACTCCCCACTGTGGCGGGGGCTGTAGTGGCTGTGACGTCGCATGGGGGCGGTGCGTGCGTTAGTCACGCACCGTCCCGACGTCACCTTCCCACCCGCTGTCAGATCGGACATTAAGGTAAGAAACAATATATGCAGTGTTATATTTGTTTTAAATGTCGCAATGGTTTTGCGGCTCCCAGGTTGTTTTTTCTTCGGAAACGGGTCCAAGTGGCTCTTTTTGTCTTAAAGGTTGCAGACCCCTAGTCTAATCAAAGCAGAAATATTTTAATAATATTTCTGAACATTTTGAACTCTTTAATATGATGGCATCTATAACAGTTAACAAAAAAACAAATAATTTTTTTACCAAATTACTTCTCTCAATGGCTTAGATTTGCAGCTTTTAGCTGAGAAAATATGCCACATTTTGGTCAAATCACATAAAAGCAAACTGCAAAGCTTATCGAAAGTCAAAATATCATTTTTGAGGTCCTCTTTATGTTTAAGGTCCCAAACCCAAAAGGTATTCCTCCACTCCACTCCAGTTGGCATTGATCCCAAAAGCAATGTGAGATTAACAATACTGTTCTACTTTACAGGGTTTGGGTACAAATTCTTGATATAATTATTTGGAATGCTTATACTAATGTAGAACCTAAAAATAAGAAGCTGTTTAATTCACCACAACGGATTATCAAAAATAACTTTTAAATGTATCGCTCTTAGCCAACAATCTTAGTTGCCGATAACATTTGGACAATCCACATCAGAATCTGGAAGAACTGGGTCCAGAACACAAATACTTATTTTTAGCTATGCTGAGCTTCTACAAGAGTTGTCCAAAACCAGAAATAGTATATTATTGTCCCCAGCCCCTTGTGCCATAAAGCAGTTCTGTGGTACTACAAGCTGCTACTGCTTTTCTGTCCCCAGTGTGGCTTCTATTTGTGTGTGGAAATATCTGCTTGTTATGGAAGGTAAATGTTAGCATTGTTAACAGTGTTTTACTGAACTATGTTGTGAATACTCTTGTGCTAGCTTTCAATAAACTTTATCTTAACCTCTTCCTGGCTGCAGAAGAATAAATTTGCAGAATTCTAACCATCCAACTTATCTGTCTGTTTTCTTTCTGCCAGTCTAACTTTCTCCCTCTATCATTATCCTCCATTTGCTCTTTCAGCACCATAACAAGAAGAAAATAATGACGTTGGTGACACCCGCCTTTGCTTGAGCTTTGACCCAACTGTGGGTCAAAAGAACCCACATATTGAAGGTCACTATTTGAGATAACCCAATTCTGGTCATTTTCAAGCTCTCTCTGGCCTATAAACAACTTTTACTGTTTTTTGTTAGTCATGTAGATTAACTTCTTCTCCTGCTTTAAATTTAACCAAAAGGTGTTTCCTGTTGCTAGTATATGTGGCCAGTTTGAGGAAGCTGGTCAGTGCATTTTAGTTAACAACCCAAACACAGATTGTATGATAGTCACATTTCCTCCTCTGTACCAATCCTATGGGTCTTGCTATGCCAGCAGCCCATTAACAATGACTTGACATCAGCGGTTCCTACTCTACATGGGCTCATCCACACTCCTTTGGTCCCGCTGCCTGTTTTTAATGTTTGGTGTTTTATTGTGTTTTTAATATTTTGTTGGGAGCTGCCCAGAGTGGCTGGGGAAACCAAGCCAGATGGGCGGGATATAAATATTTTATTTATTTATTTATTTATTTATTTATTTATTTTCCCAACCCTGGGAAGCAGAAACTACTCTGTAGTGCTCAATTGGCACAAACTGCTATTTGGGATTTTCCCAGATTGATGTTTGCTCTGATTGAGCACTAGAGAGTAGGTTTTCCCTGAGAAAGAGGCAGAGCAAGAGGGAAACCCAGGCTTTCTAGGCACCGGACAAATGGAAATGTGGACAAGCCCTCTATCAGCAGCTATCAAAACTTTTTCACCCACAGACTACTGGAAATTTGCAGAAGAGCTTGGTGCTTTTTCCGCCTGTTGCAGCCATTGCAATGCACTGTGCTAGATGCTGCCTGGTTTTTAATTACATTGTATTGCTTCTTTGATTATATATGACATTTTGCTACCATTTGAATAGTCAGAAAGGCAGTAAACAATGAAATATGTATGTAAGCTGCTTTGGCACTCATGTGAGTGAAAAGCGGCAGAGAAATCTAATACAGTAAATGAAATGAAATTTAAAAAATTAACATGAACATTTAATGCAAAGAATGTGCCACCTCCCATCTTTATCCATAAATCCCACAGACACACCTGAAAGAAACTTGTGGGCGACTGGTCGTCCACAGACCACATTTTGGGAATGCCTGCTCTTTACTGATCCTATCATCTCATCATGTCAGCAGCAACATAGTACAACTGGGATCCTGTTTACTCCTTGCAGCAAAGTTGAGGAAAATACAGTAGCATTCCAAGGACAATTCCACATGGCAGTTTATTGAGAACGCACTGCTCCTTTACGCATGACATTTTCTTTGCAGCATCCTCGTCAAAATGCCACCCAATATTTCCCTCCATTTAATCTGCTGGATTTAAACAAAAAGTTTATGGATTTTTCACAGAAACGGTAAATCTGGCCTAATGGGAAAATAATGTGGGGTGGTATTTTGAAGGGGACAACATCATGTGGCTGCTGTGCAAATCATTCACTCATGAGCACCACTGAATCCGTGATAAACACTCATGTGGAAGTGCCCAAAACTACAGCAACTCTGCCAGCCGCTCCCATCTGCATCCACACTGCCAGCACATGTCAATGCAGCTTCCTGTGTGTCATACATGGATGAAGTCAGGGTGATAAAGGAACAGCCATCACAACCACAAGGCACAACTAACCTAACACAAGGATGCCAAAGTACCCTCTAACAGCAATTGCTAGGGAGGAGGCAGCAAGATCTCAGGAAACAGTGGGATCTCTGCACCTATGCTTTTGAACCCTGTCATACACCCCCTCTCACATAGTGGCTGCAAATAACCAACAATCCCCTTCTGAATGGCCAGCACACAAGGAAGGACAGCTGGATAGGTCAATACAGGACCCAAATAACTTGGGAGAGAGCGCTGGGTGGTGGCATGCAGCACATCTAGGACAAGTTCTTGCAAGGAAGAAATGCCACCTGAGCCAAAGGGGCCTTTTTTTTTGTCAGAAAGGAAAAAGAGTAATATAGTATTACTTATTGAATACATATGTTACCCTTTTCTCCCCAAGGAGCCCAGGGTGGCAAACAGATGTACAAGTGAAGAACACAAAGGATGCACACACACAAAAACCCCTTCTAAAACAAATTAAAACATCCTAAAAGCAATTACAGTTGAACATGTCTAAAAACAGTCATGGTTAAAAACATTATAATGGGCAACAAGAGAAGCCACAGCATAGCTGCTCACAGGCTGGAGCACTGGAATTGGAAACAGTTGTGGCAGGTTTGAACCCAGCAACGAAGACTAGTAGAATTAAGGCTGCACACTCACCTTAGGTATGCCTGACTGGGCAGCTGCCCTTGTTCCAAAGGAAAACAGGGTGGGTGCAGGGAACAGGCAGGACTAGAACCATCCAGCAGACAGAAAAAAGAACACATTGTAGGGCCCTTGCCTTCCTCTACCAAGGGGTTTGTGAGGAGGATGTGATCACCACAGGAAGTTAGAGGGGATAACTCAGGAGTTTTCATCCACAGGTGCACCTGAGAGAGTCCAGTATCTGAGCCAATCAGAGGGAGAAGTGTATGGACCAATAGCCTGGCTTCCATGTGACTTCAGTTGCCTTTTGGGTCAACCATTGGTTCCTTGATTTGCCTAGTATTGCTAGATATTGCCCCACCCAAACTTCTCCTCCCCACCTGCTGGCTCTGCTTGGCTCTTCACACCAATAGGAAGCAGGAGGCTTGTTGAAGCCCCTCCTCCCCTTACATTAAGCTACTTAGCTTCCCCCTTACAGTCTCAATCTGAAGCCAGCTGCAGTGAGTAAGGACTAATCAGGGAGGAGAGGGAATGCACAGCTGCCAAACAGCACCAGCAAATCAACAACAGGGGAAAGCTTTTCTTGACCTGTTGCCAAGGCAGGTCATAAGGTTGCTGTAAAGGTCTTTTCCTAGGGTGACATGCCACATAGCAGACTGCTATGCCCCAAATGACTATTGCCTAGTTCAGAGCTTTCCAAACTGTGTGTTGGCTTGCAGTATATAGGTGTATCGCGAGAACGTTCCCCTTCCTCCTCCCGGGGTGGAAAGCGTTACTTTAAACTCCAGTTTGCTAGTAAAATGGAATTGCTGTGTTGTGAAATGATGCAAGACAGAATTACTGTGTCACGGAATGATACATGTCTAAAACGTGTGTCACCAACATGAAAAATTCAGAAAGCTCTGGCCTAGTTATTATCATTACCTCACTTCTCTGCTTGCGTGTTCTAACTCTGCATGATATAGGTAAAGGTAAAGGTAACCCTGCCCGTACGGGCCAGTCTTGACAGACTCTGGGGTTGTGCGCCCATCTCACTCAAGAGGCCGGGGGCCAGCGCTGTCCGGAGACACTTCCGGGTCACGTGGCCAGCGTGACAAGCTGCATCTGGCGAGCCAGCGCAGCACACGGAAACGCCGTTTACCTTCCCGCTAGTAAGCGGTCCCTATTTATCTACTTGCACCCGGGGGTGCTTTCGAACTGCTAGGTTGGCAGGCGCTGGAGCAGCGGGAGCGCACCCCGCCGCGGGGATTCGAACCGCCGACCTTTCGATCGGCAAGTCCTAGGCGCTGAGGCTTTTACCCACAGCGCCACCCGCGTCCCTCTGCATGATATAAAGCCACAGAAATGCAGTTCAGCACCAGGAAGCATACCTAAAGGTCTACATCGTTTTCTGCTGTGCCTATGGATCTTGCCACCTGAGGCAATTGCCTCACCTTGCCTCATTGGTGGGTCAGCCTTGCATGTCCC